TTGTGTTTTATAATATAATTTTTTTTTTGTCAGTTAGAATTTCAGCTGACTGTACAAAGAAATTCATTCCCAGAATTCATTTTAACTTCTCAATGCAGTCAAACTAAACCCTCAGGTAGGGAGACTTTTCTTTTGCGTAAGAGGGTCCTTTTAACGGCTGGTTGCTTTGTTCAACGTCAGCTGTGGCAGCCTTTTAAATGCCAATGTGAAATCCACACTTTTGGCTTTAATTTGGTGGTGCTGTATTGGCTAATAACACTGGGCAGTGCACTGGTAGTATGTCACGTAGTCCGTCTTTGGTTAAAACAAACTCTCTAACCCATGAGATTTGCACGGCAATGAGAACGCAGCAAAAGTGAGTCGTACGCAACACCAGCAGGTCTTAACTAAACAGTGTGACGTCCATGTGTGTTAGTTATTTAGCAGTTGAGTTAGGCTTCCGGAGACATGCACGGTGAGCCAGAAGGCTTATTTAATAGACATGCCATGTGAATAGAGTAGCATTTGAGGCCAGTGGCGTGCATCATTAGTTTGGGCAAAATCTGTTCTTGCGTGGGTTCTCCTAACTCACAGTTCTGTTCACGTTTAAAAAAGAAAAAAAATGCATTTTGCTTGCACTGTAGAACTCTGATCATGGGAAAACTGATATAAGCTGGTCATAAATATTCAAGCATTGCTTTTTAAATACACCGATCAGGCATAACATTATGACCACCTCCTTGTTTCTACACTCATTGTCCATTTTATCAGCTCCACTTACTATATAGGTGCACTTTGTAGTTCTACAGTTACAGACTGTAGTCCATCTGTTTCTCTGATACTTTGTTAGCCCCCTTTTACCCTGTTCTTCAGTGGTCAGGACCCCCATGGACCCTCACAGAGCAGGTACTATTTGGGTGGTGGATCATTCTCAGCACTGCAGTAACGCTGACGTGGTGGTGGTGTGTTAGTGTGTGTTGTGCTGGTCTGAGTGGATCAGACACAGCAGTGCTGCTGGAGTTTTTAAACACCTCAGTGTCACTGCTGGACTGAGAATAGTCCAGCAACCAAAAATATCCAGCCAACAGCTTCCTGTGACCACTGATGAAGGCCTAGAGGATGACCAACACAAACTGCAGCAGCAGATGAGCTATCGTCTCTGACTTTACACCTACAAGGTGGACTGACGAGCTAGGAGTGTCTAGTAGAGTGGACAGTGAGTGGACACAGTGTTTAAAAACTCCAGCAGCACTGCTGTGTCTGATCCACTCGCACCAGCACAACACACACTAACACACCACCACCACGTCAGTGTCACTGCAGTGCTGAGAATAACCCGCCACCCAAATAGTACCTGGGGTCCTGACCACTGAAGAACAGGGTAAAAGGGGGCTAACAAGGTATGCAGAGAAACAGATGGACAGTGAGCGTAGAAACAAGGTCATAATGTTATGCCTGATCGATGTACGTTATTCAGTGCTTATGTCCTTTTGTACCGGGCCTTAAGCTTATTGACTGGAACGTTTTGTTATGAACCGAATTCTCTTCTGGATCTTTTTCTCTGCCACATGACTCTTACATTTACATAGCAGCCTTTAGCAGATACTCTTATCCAGAGCTACTTACAGAAGTGCTTTGTACATACACAGTACACAAAGACTAAAAGAGGGTTTTTTCAGTGCATAGTTGGTGTTATTTTATTTTAAAGTGCATGTCTATAGAACTTTAACCTAGAGATGCACTAGAACTGTCAGAGCAGTTACTAAATCAACTTATCAGCTTAAGAACATCAACAAGAGATGTTCTGACTAAAGCAGACCTGGAGAAACTCATCCACACCTTTTATTTCTAGCAGGATTGATCACTGTAATGGCCCTTTAGATACTATGCTGCGCTTTAATGGATCCAGTGGACATGGAGCGTTAGAAGAGCCCCCACACTGGACACTCTAAATCAGCCTGAAAACGTTCCTGTTTGAGCAGCTTTCAGCTCAGTTTAAAACACTGTTAGTGTTTCTAGACCCCTTTCCTCTGTAGAGGCACATTTTTATTCTAATTTAACTTTTAATTTTTAATTTGATTTTTAATTATCCTAATTTGAGTTTAATTTAATGATTTTTGTCTTTTAAATCTGTTGATTTAATCACGTTTTTAATTTCTGTCCTCCTTTTTCAAATGACTAGTTTCTCATTTGGAAAGCACTTTAAATGACAGCAGTGTATGAAAGGTGCTATATGTTTTGGACGGTGCTGATATCTGATATTTTATATCTGTTGAAGTTGAGACTTCAGCTGTCTGGATTAGCAACTCATCACTCATTACCTCAGCCACTTATCCTCCTGGGTCGTGGGGTGTGGTGGAGCCTATCCCAGCGCTCACTGGGCGGAAGTCAGGAAACACCCTGGACAGGTCACTAGTCCATCACAGAGCCAATGGATTGGCATTGTGGGATAATATTTTAAACTTTGTTAATGGTTACAAATTAATAGATTATATTTTAGTATGGTAACCCAGCGTCGCTCAAACGTTCTGGTCTTCTGGAATATAATAAACATCATTAAACAGTTTGAAATATTGGTCAGATGCACCATTATGATTCCGATATCATCGATTAGCTCTGCTTCAGCACTGATTGTAGCTTTGAAGTCGAATACATCTTCAAATTGTTGTGGACACTTTTGTTTGTAGGATCTCGCTACCAGATTTTATTTATTCCATTTAAATTAATACTTAAGTGGTATAAGTCTAACTATGGAATTAGCTTTTTTGCATTGACGAGAGGCAGTATATGTGCTGCTCTTCTCCAGGAGTGAATTTACCCTTCAGGTATCCATGAAGTGTTCTGGGCCAAGTGCAGGAACTGGGCGAACTATTTAAAGCCCTAAAAAGGCCATACGATATTCACATGATCAATTGGCTGTGAGCTAAAGCCCGTGTAAATCCTTCCTGTGTTTAGAGAGCCTCCAGAGCTGTAACAATTCACTGGTGTCTTGTTCTTTTAGTCCTGTAGCTTGCCTGCACTTGGGACGTTATAGATATACAGCATGGCAGTATTCCACCGTCGGGCCTCTGTTTAGGGAAGACAGCAAGACTCAGTCTGTAGTTGCAGAAAGATTAGAATTCATAATGCACATGTGATGACCTCCTGTAACATCCTTTTTTGTGTGCTTGCTGATGTTAAGGCTGACGTTTTTAATGTGCCAAGTGTACAACCCCCATTTCCAAAAAAATTGGCATGCTGTGCAGAATGTAAATAAGAATAGAATGCAATGATATGCAAATCGTGTAAACCATGTTTTTAAAGGAAAATACTACAAAGACAACACAGCAAATGTTGAAACTGAGAAATTTTATTGTTTTTTTGAAAAATATATGCAAATTTTGAATTTTATGCCAACAACACGTTCCAAAAAAGTTGGGACAGGGGCCTGTTTACCACAGAGTTTCATCACCTCTTCTTTTAACAACACTAACTGTTTGGGAACTGAGGAGACACTGCTGTAGTTTAAAAAGTGAAATGTTTTCCTGTTCTTGTTTGATATAAGATTTCAGCTGCTCATCAGTTCAGGGTCTCCTTTGTCGTATTTTTCATTTCATAATGCGCCAAATGTTTTCAGTGGTGACAGGTCTGGACTGCAGGCAGGCCAGTTCAGCACCCGGACTCTTTTAATACGGAGCAATGCTGTTGTAATACATGCAGAATGTGGTTTGACATTGTCTTGCTGAAATAATCAAGGCCTTCCCTGAAAAAGACGTCATCTGGATGGCAGCATATGTTGCCAAAGCATGTATATATCATTCAGCATTAATGGTGCCTTCACAGATGTGAACGTCACCCATGCCATGTGCACTAATGCCCCCTATACCATCATGAATACTGGCTTTCGAACTGTGCACTGATAACAAGCTGAGTGGTCTTTAGCCCAGAGGACACAGTGTCCATGATTTCCAAAAAGAATTTCAAATGTTGATTCGTCGGACCACAGGACACTTTTCCACTTCCTCTGAGTCCATTTTAAATGAGCTCAGACCCAGAGAAAGTGTCAGCGTTTCTGGGTCCTGTTCATATATGATTTCTTCTTCGTGTTTTAGAGTTTTAGCTGCATCCACAAATGCAAGTTATAAAGTTTTCACAGACAGTGTTTTTCAGAAGTGTTTTTGAGCCCATGCAGTGATTTCCACTACAGAATCATGTCCGTTTTTAATGCAGTGCCGCCTGAGGGCCCAAAGATCATGGCCAGCATATGTGTTGTTGGTGTCAAATTCAAAATGGGCATATATTTTTCAATAAACAATAAAATTTCTGTTTGATTTGTTGTCTTTATACTATTTTCAATAAAATATAGGGTTTAAATGATCTGCACATCATTGCATTTTGTTTTATTTTCATTTTGCATCCCAACTTTTTTGGAAATGGGGTTGTACATTTTGTTTCGTTGAATTAATTGCATGAAAACAATGTTTATCTGAAACATTTTATTTGACAAGAAGAGTTTGTGTGGACTTCTCATCTCGATTATTATCTACAAATAGCTTTGCATATTTATAACATTTGAGAAGGCGAGTTATGATGAAGCACAAATGCTCTTTTAAATACACACTGTGTTCCCTTTGAATCCTCTGTACAGTTCAATAGAATTGTTGATCTTTCTCTTAGTGAAGGTATAGCTTCGGATTTTGTAGTTCATCAGGCATAAGAAGGCCTCAGTTTTAGGCTTCTTATAGCAGACCCTGTTGACCAGCAGTGATGTGAATAACATACATAGGCCATTCATTTGGTCATTTTTGAGAATGCACAGTTCTGTCATTCATTCTGTCCATTCCAGGTTGGTGACATTGGTTTCCTTTGCCTTGTTTTAATTTCCATGGCTTATGGTCCCATATAAAATTCACTACAAGGCAATAAATATGGGTTATTCCATTTGCTGTTACACTGCCAAACCCCATGATCCTCATATTACCTTCATTGCTCTGGTTGACCTTATAAGGTGGCACAACTTTCTCTCTGCTCTCAAAGATTCTCTACTGATATCTTTTTCCAAGTTTATACGTAGCTGACGCTCTCATCAGGTTTGCAATCCTCGTTCTCCGTAAGAAGAAGGGTATCCAGCATGACGCTAGGAGAAGGCTGTAAATGTGTTGGCCGGCGCCGCAAGGGACTCTGGTAGCTTACGGGGCTAATGCCGTTCTTCATCCCATTCTTCATAAACATTTTGGAATTCTCTGCCATAGAAGATTGGAAGGAGATCCTGCTTAAGTTCCTACATTGTATTTTGGGAGATTTCTTACTGCCGAAGTTACACATGATGTAGCGTGTAAAAGCCTCCCGGAAAGTCTTGTTGAAAAGCGTGTAGACAAGAGGGTTGACTCCTGATGAGACGTAACCCACCCATACAAAGATGTCCAGGAGCCTCTCCACTAGCTCGATGTCACAACTCTGGCAGAGCACCGAGGTGACATTGGTAATGAAGAACGGACACCACATGACCACAAACAACATGAATACAATCCCTAGGACCTTTGATGCCCGCTGTTCGTTGCTCAGGTTTTGCATGGATCTCTTTCCTATGGTGGACATTCTCCGAATCGGGATCTCATCACCCGTGGTGGGGTTCCCAGAGTTCAATATTTGGTCCCTTTTAATTCCATCCAGCATGGTGAGTTTCTCCGGCGGAGAAGGAACCGGCTGCTCTCTTTGGAAGACTGTAGATACGGTGGGTCTGTTAAAGCGCTGAGAGACCCTCGACCTGAGGAGATAGGCTTTCTTGCGCAGCACTTGGATTGTCAGCAAGTAGATGATCATCATTATCATGAGGGGTATGAAGAAGGCAGCCAGAGAGCCAAATACTTTAAATTCTCCAAAGCTCTCTGGCGTCAACAAGCAGGTGTGGTTGCAGCTGAAAGTTATATTGTTGGGATGATCAGAGCTTTTTAGTCCTTTGATGGGTATGGGTATGGCGATACCTGTTACAGGAGAGAAGAATATTAAGTTAATATCATTAAGAGACAATCAAGACAGTCGTAACGATGACAAATGTGGCGCCATAGCTTGCTTATTTTCAGCAGGTGAAACTGCAAGTTCTGCATTGTATAGCTCTGTAAAATGAAACACTTACAGTGAGTAAACGAACCATTTGTCGCTGAAAAAGCAGTTATGACAGTGACCGTAGATCTTAAGCTAGCGGACTCTTCCACTAACCTTGGCTTGAGGAGCTTCCATAACTTTAGCTACTGTTGTCTGGTTTTGCTCAGTAATACTGCTTTGTCAAAAGAGGGAATACGTGATTTCATGCCTGCGGAGTAAGCAGGGACACAGTGTGCTGGGTCAGAATTGAAGTATCGGTGCGCAGGGCCTGCCTTTCATGGCTCTAAAGCACAGCTAAGGTTCCACTTATAGTGCTGGATGCTGCAGATCTCAAAACGACACGCTCTGAAAGATTACTTGAATTCTGTTAATGAGCAGAACTGCTAGGTGACTAGTTTTGTTCCCAGGCAAGCGAATTCATAACTGAAACCAGACACCGGTCTCACGGAGGAGGATTTGTTGCTTAGCCAGTTAACTTTTAAACTTAGTTTAATCTATCCTTGAATTTTCGGTTTCACTACAGTGGATCACTTTTTTACCAGGTTACATCACTATAGTGCTTGTGCTGCATGCCTAACCCGCTCCAGGGCAGGTTAACTTTGGGAAATTGGATCAGAAACTACTCTAAGACCGATAAAGTAGGCCCCTCTGGGCATTTACAGGTCACGGGCAATTATTTCTTCATTAAGCACTAACACAGTGGCAGTTATGTGGTTATCAATGCCTAACTCATCTTTATATTCGCTTAGTATATTTTCTTTTATGGTCTGTGAGACACTCATCTCGTCCATGTTTCTAGTCCATGGGGATTAATCATAGCTTGAGTATATAAACCTAGCTGTGTTTGTGAAGCTAAAGCTTTGTCAGGAACCCAGTCAAAGTTGAACATGCTTCGTGAGAAAGGCCCCAGGATCATTAACGGTCAATCGTTTTGTTTATGTCAGCTTGCCAGTCCATATCCATAGAGATCCATGGAGGAGGGCAAGAAGTGACTGGGGAAAGCCCCAGTCAGGAAATGATGTACCATGCCTGCCCTGGCACTTGGCTTTAAGTTTATTAACAAGGAGTTTATTTGAAGACAAAGATAGTAAAGTAACTTATCTCCTTGGCAGGTGTAGTATTCACAGTGGCAGAAAAAATAAACAACTGCTTGTTCATTACTACTCGCTGTCAGTTACTTGAAAGTGGCACAAACAGTTATCGTCTCAGAAGCAAGATTACTATCAGATAAGTGCAAGGAAACTGACCAGTTGTTACTCAGAGTAAACATTTCTTCCTTGCTGGCCAGCTGGAGAGAATAGAGGAAGCAGAGAGGTTGTTGAAGACTGACAAACAGGGAAATTGCTTATCCGCATGGCTACATTACACCCCAGCAACATTGCTGTTTGCTCTTGTTGTTGCCTTCCAGTTGCAGTGTTAGCTGATTAGCGCAGTTCAAGGGGCGTTCTCGCCAAAAGTGTAACCATTACTACATCTGTTGTAAATATTACTTTCCACCTAGAGTGGTGCAACATGAGGCTCCAGTTTCCAGACCAGGAAACCCTGCTTCTGATGATGTATCTTGGAGGTGGGAGAAACTTTTGAAAAACTACCCGGGCATTGTGGGAGAGGCTCAAGGGGAGGATGTTTTTGAAATGTTTAGCCTTCCCGCTGGCTGATGAATGCAAAAGGAAGCCAGATAGCTAATGTCGAATATCACACGTCTATTTATTAGCCTGGCTATGCTAGCAGGGTGATTCAAAAAGATTAATCCGATTTCAAAGCATCATATTTTTACATCCGTGAGGCGACTAGGAACCAATCACAATCCAATTGGAAGAGGGGGTCATAGAGTCTCTGACTGTCAGTATGGCACTGAACCTCCAACAGCTCAGAGCACTCGTCATTGGTACCAGCAGTTCCAAGAAAAAGGTCACCAGCATCACCAGATGTCCGTACAGCTGGAGGAGGTCAGGAGGTTCATATTGAGCACTTGTAAAGTTACAGAATAAACTTTATGCTCACTTAATACCATTTACAACTTACTGCATTGTTCTGTAATGATTTCCAAGTGAAAAATCTTTTTGAAATCAGATGAATCTTTTTGAATCGCCCTGTATTTACATAATACATGCTAGGTATTATGTATTCATCATTCTGCACTACAGAACATTTATATATCATGACAAATAAGATAGTAAATGCTAGTCTTAGGCCGGAATGCACCTTTAACATTAAAGAGCTTACCTATAGATATCAACCAGACCAGTGCAATTTTGGCCATCGCTTTGGCTCGGGATTTGTACTGGCTGTGCTGAATAGGTTTCTTGATGGCTATGTAGCGGTCAAGAGAGATGGCACACAGGTGCATGATGGAGGCTGTGGAGAACAAGACGTCCAGGAAGAGCCAGATGGGGCACAGGAAGTCGGGCAGGGGCCACTCTGCGTCTGAAACATGGAGAACTGATCAGTTCCGCTTAAAGTCGTGTAGAAAAGGCACAAAAGGTAAACAGGCTTTGTTTTTCTCTTCGGGGTATAGCAGAACCTGAATGACTTGTATTTATATTTAAGCCTTCTTTATTGCAGGCGAAGACATTATTAATGTCTGGATGACCGTTTATTAATGGCAGGTGGGGAATTCAGGTGTTAACAGTGGCATAACATGCTTTGTAGACAATGTAAGTAAATAATATTGACACAAGTAATTCTAGAGGTATATTATGACTGCAGAAAATATAGACTAAAGAGTCTTTGCAGGAATTAGGATTCGATTCATGAGTTCCTAGGTTTTTCTGTTCTTAAAGACCTCACAAAACTGCTTTTAAATGTTCCAAAATGATCCAAGCTTCTATAAAGTAATAACTTTTAAATTTAGTAAATTCATTTTAGTGCTTCTATATGTCTATTATTTGCTTCATTTCTTGTAAATCGTCTTTTATGGCATTATTTACCTTGGACATGAGATGAATAACAGCATATAATTTAGTTGGAATTCATCCCAGTGCAAATAATTGCATTTAAACTTGTTTTTTCTTTTGATGCTGTTTGTCTTTCAGATGAGTTTTAAGAAAATAAACAGTACAGGATTGTTTTTTGTTCTCATAACCGCTTCCAGTTGTCATCTAAGAGAAACAAGACATGCTTCAAATATTCTTTGCTGCTCTCTGTCCTGATTAGGTACATCTTAAATCAAAAACTGTTGCGCAGAATGCTGTGATCTTTGGTTGAACTGAAAGTTGTGTTTAGCAGTTGTGACTAGTTTGTGTGACGCTTAAACAGACTAATGCGATTGTGTCAGTGCAGGTACTTTTCTGGAAAAAGAGCTGAAACTAAGGATCTGTGCTGATAAGATCTCTCTTGAAAAGTACTCTTTATCAAAGGCGATCCTGGGACAAAACAGCTTTACTGATGTTCCCACACACCGCAGACAGTGTATACGCACGTCGTGCCGGTTGGCTGAAGGGAATAAAGCAGCCAACATGCTTTTGGCTGAACTGGACAGCCAGCTCTGGAGACGTGCATTTTCAATTGATACACCAGTTCTTTTTGTGCCCACACGTTGTCGTAAGAATATTTAGCTTGTTTCCAGTTTTACTTGTTTTAAGGTGTTTTATAGTGAAATTGTGTAGAACAACATATCGCTGCTGTTGGAACAAAATCATTTTTCAGTTTTTGACAGAACTTGAAAATTTCATGATGAACAAACCAAAAGAAACAGCCTGAAATGATGTGGAGAAATGTCTGGTTCCATTGACTTACATTATAAATAAAGCAGGTTTTTGCTTTCTCTTGTACAGTTACTTTATGGAGATATGAGGTTTTGATCTGACAACAGTGATTCTATTGCCAGATAATTTTCAAGCAATTTGTGTTGTGAAATAAGCTAAAATATCTCCCAGTTCAGTAAGAGAGATGTAATTACTTCCTAAAAATATGGTAAAATCTAGAAATAAATTGAGATCTCATTATATTCTCACAATTGTAAACTGAAAAAATATTAAAAACATTTTAAGATGACTTCTCTTGCCAAGATATAACGTTTTACAGTGCAAGCAAACGTTTCATTAAGAAATCAACAGATCGTGCAGTGCAAAGATCCATCTACAGATGCCTTTATGCATGTCTTCCTTATTAATGTAGTCTAAAATGATCTGTACTGCTTTAATTACTGATTACAGGTTAATATAATGTATTCTGAATCAGTTCCACCTTTGTTATTGTTATGTTGTCAATCCCTGCTTTTGTTAAGTTTGCCAAATCTGTAACCTTCAACTGTACCATCGTAGTATCTACAAAGAGGTTAAACATGTCCTGGAGCTCATCACCTCCTCAATTACAGTAGCGGTGAAAGCTGTAACTGTAAAGCCCAGCATAACGGAAGGCTTTTAAAATAATCCCTGTTAAGGTGAAGGTGATTTTTGGTGAAGGGTGGAGGATCTTTACCTCTTGTTGGACTTGATCACTGACAGCAAGCAGGTTTTCTACAGTAGATGTAGCTTAATACTTTGTACGTTCACTGCTGGTTTTAATAAGGGCTTTGTAGAAGATGGACCTGGCAGATTTAAGCCCTTTCTTTATTTCCTATCCTTTGTGATGCTTCCTTAGCGATGTAACTTTCATAACGTGACTTTTTGAAGTCCTTAACATGTTTCTGATTTTAAAAAATCCAGTATGTGTTATGCAAGTTAAAGCCTTTTCTTCTTCAGATGCTTGCGACAATGTAAATCAGTGAACCAGAGTGCCTCCCTTATTTTCTTTCTTGGGATTTTCTCTCATTTTGAGGATCATGCTCTCATGCCACCAGCATTCAGGATGTTTTGTCGTCACTGGAGCAGAAGTCCTGCGTCTTTTGTGATGAAATCAGATTTGTAGTTCTTTGTTCTCTGGTATGTGACCATAAGAACGACCGCTCGTTCTCACTGATGTTTCTTCTGTAACTCTTAACAGACTAACAGGTAAGATTCACTACCCTGTAATCTCCCTTTTCCTGAGAACAGTATAAAAGGATGATCTGCTCTGCCAGACTTTTGGTGCTGCACTGCCAAGTCTGAAATTTCCCATGTAAATATTTCTCTCCATCCTTGATGAGTACGTTCGTAATTCTTTTTTTGAGAGGGTGTTCTTGTCTTTTTAGCCCTGGTGCTGTCCTTTTGCAGCAAACTAAGCTCTGTCTGATTTGATCGGTGGTCAGACAGCATTTTACCCTGACATTGAACCATTTAATTTTTCAAGGTGTTGACAGTAAATCCTGCGCTCACCTGCCGAGCAGATGTGGACACGTTAGCGATTTTACTCTGTAGACGGCAAGACCAGCAAGTCAGTTTCTCATTTAGCTGTTTGCCTGAAGAGGCAATACACCTGAATGTAAAAGTGAAACTCCAATAAAGCCATTAAACTTTGCAGAGGTTCTCCAGATGGGCAGTTCTCTTCAAAACAATGAGAAGGAGGAGAAAAAACATGCACCTCATAGCACAGAGGCGCTAGGTTTGGTATCGCAGCTATCCCCAAAAAAAAATCTTGTCCAAAACTGTACTGGATGTAAAGTAATGTAAAGAAATTTAATTCCAAACGTTTTCATTGTTTCCTTCATCATAAATAATTTTTATAAAAAGTTAAAAATAAATTAAAAATTAAGAAAAGTTTTTTTTAAGTATTTTTTTCATGAATATTTATTTATTTATTTATTTATTTTCTCAAAAATCAAAAGGCCAGTGACAAATTTTTGGCCGCAAATTGTGCTCAAATAACTATTCCCAAAGTCCCAGACGGATATAAACACTACACAAGCAGCTCTACAGTATCCTCTCATGATAAATGACCGGTCATTGCACTCCAAATCCATCCATTATCCTTCCTTCTCCGTCCCAGTAATATGATTTAATTAGCCGTGAGAGTTCCTGTCTTCTGGTAAATTTCGAGCTCAGTTTGGCCGTTTGCACCAAACCCCCTTTGACTACTGAGAGCACTTGACGTGTTCTCAGAGCGCCTGCGGTTCTCTCTCAACAAAGGCTTTTCGGGCCTTGTGTAAAGCTCTAAACTTTAGTTTATATTGGTCACTACTCCGTTAACCCCTGTGGGTCCCTCTTCAGTGCTCAGATCACTTTGAGGTCTCATTTTGATCAATACTGAGAGTTTCTTCCCACCATTTTATGCTTTATTGTCATTCTTTGACGGAAACTGATTAGAATGCATGTGTTTGATGGTGCAGATTGAAGAGCAATTAGTATGCGACTCTTGTTATTGCTGTTTTATCTGATCTGATGGACATTTTAAAGTTTGACTGACCAGATCTTTCGCCCGCTTAAAGCAGAACTGCCCATATAGTTCCTGTACAAATAAAAGGCTTATTTTGGGAAGCCTGGTCTAAGCGCTAAATCCTACCGTGCGCAAACGAGTCGAGGCTCATGTTGTGTCACTGAACCCTGTGTAATCTAATTAATGAGAAGTAATGGACTGGCTGGAGATCGGTGGCGCTGGGACTGAACGCCAAGTTGGCAGAGAGAGCAGGATTAGCTCTGAGCACAGCTGCATAGGCACAGCGCTGGGTAGGACGAGGAAATGTTTTGCGTAGGTGCGTTATCGTCAATTCTGAAGAAAGCCATCAAACCATGGTGCAAGGGAGGTTCAGGTTAAGACCTCTCTCTTAAATTTCATGTCCATTAATTCATGGGAGAGTAGATGGAAATATTTTGTTTTTCTTCCCCACCAATTAATCTGTCCACAAAATGATTAATGAACCTAACTTTGTTTTGCCATGCTCCAAATAGCATCACCGAAAAAGTGCCGTAACGAACTTTGCGTAATATTTATAACTTAGACAGACAACCAGGACAAAGTGAGCCATGAACAGTCTGTACAAGTGCATCTGCTTTTTAATGAAGTTCGTGTACCAAACCTGAAAGCGAATGTAAACAAGCTGAAGTGAAGAAGAAAAGAGGGTCACTCACTGAAGAGCACGGTCACCAGCGCAATGGGCATCACCAGCAGACCCACCAGCAGGTCCGCCACAGCAAGCGACATGAGGAAGTAGTTGGTGGCGTTCTGAAGCTTGCGCTCCAGCGAGACGGCCAGGATGACCAGGATGTTGCCTCCGATGGTGGGGATGATGACTATGATGATGAGCAGCGAGGCCCAGTGGAGTTCCTCTAATTTAAAGACCGAAGCGCTGCAGTTTTGTTCCGGACTCGGTGCATCGCTCTGGGACATGCTGCCGTGGATGGCCGGGCTGTGGGAAGTATTGCTTTGGCTTTTTTCCTGGGGCTTCGCCAGCATTGTCACATTGGGGCGGGCGTTGAGGGAAGCTGGACTGGGGGCAGATTCAGCTCAGGAGTGACACGGTTCCCATTTGAATAAGAGTCAACAACAAAGAACACGACGAATACTCCAAACAGAAGTCTGGTATGTGCCTCAAGTTGCCTGTGCTTGATCCTCAGGGTAATCCGTCAAGAGAGGATACTTCCGACCGAGTGGTCAGTGCCTTGAGCGCGAGAGCTTTTGACGTTACGTTCAGCATGTTCTTCACTTCTTCTCGTGCAGCTCTACGAGACACAGCTGTAAACACAAAACAAAACGCATGCTTCCATCAGCCGTCTCTATCTTGGTTTGAGCTGACGTTTATCGTTACAAATGACATCAGATTTCCCTCTGCTGTCATTAGTGCCATTAGTTCTAGACAGCAGAGGAGTAATTAAGCAAGGAAGTGGCTATCTGCCGTAATCACTGTTTGCTCATAAACTCAGCCATTTCACGTTTTAATGAAATTTAATAAATCAGAACAGATGGCGCATTTTTTTTTTTTTCCCCCTCTCAATCAGGTTTCCAAGTTACAATTTGGCTGGTTCATGGGAATATTATTACAGTGTTTACAAAAGTTTATGGTTTTGATTTAATATATTCTGCGTTTCATCTGTTTGCGTAGTTCACATAAATTAACAGCAATTGGAAATGATGCAAGGGCGCTAATGTGAATGAATTCGCATATTGCGGATTCCACTTGGTAACCTGACGGTCTAAATTGCTAAGTTGCTTGGTGCTTGGCTATTCAAACAAGCCTGATACTGGTTTATTTGGAAGTGATTCCATGAAAGCCCCCAGTAAAGTACTTGAAATGCTTTTTGAAATGATATTTACTATTAAACTGTGGGTGCAATTCATGTACTTGTCTTTTAAACGCTTTAAATGCACCTCTGTTCAGTGTTTGTCAGTTTCAAATCTTCCATTGGTTTCAAAAGGAACAGATGTCTGTTCTGTTAAATACTGCTTGAAGCCTGGCTGACGGTGAGCAGTGTTTTTTGAGCTTACCTTAAACTGAAACCCGGCGGAGTCCTTTGTTAGAGTTGTGCCTTTTTCTGCCCTTTGCAGCGTCGTCCTCTGTCATTCTTTGCTTCTTTTCTTTTTACAAATTGTGAAGGCAAGAAGTGTCTCTCAGTTCGTTGCTTCACACATTTTATAAGTGCTCACAAAAAAGGAATTAAAAACAAAAAACAATTCTGGTGAGAAAAGATCCAAGTATTATCTCACTTCTGCTTTTTTTTATGTTGAAGTGTTTCCTTTGGTCCTGGCGGTCTGGAAGAATCCCCAGTCCTGCTTCGCATCACCTACCGCGACGCTGTTCTTCTCATTCTGTCTCTGTCTGTCTCTCTCTCTCGTTCCGTACTTGTCCGCTTGCCGCCTCACTCTGAGACACACACACACTCTCTCTCTCTCTCTCTCTCTCTCTCTCTCTCTCTCTCTTTGCTGTATGGTGAGTCAGGGTGGGAGAAAACGTGTGAGTGTGTCGTTGCTGGATTGGTTCCAGCAGTTCTGGGAGGTAATTTCCTTCAGCACAGCGAACCTACTGTTTATGTTTGTCACTCCGAGCTCGCGCCTCAGCCCGGGGCAGTCGCAGAAATGGATGAGTTATTAACGGAGTCGGGCTGTTTGCTTTATGTGCTTCTACGCAAACCCCAGGGTGTCGCCTTCATAAACGGAGGGTTTGGTGCCTCATCTTTCTCCCGCTCGTCCTTAATGAATGAATTCATTTTTCCCACCTTGTTTCTTCTGGTAATTGAAACGACGATGGAAAAATCACCTTTATTTCCTCTCATCAACCTAAACTTTATTTCCTTCTTCCCCACATACCAAATTTTGTGTGAGATTTAAGTATTAATTGCATTTTATCAGGTAATGCCTAGAGAAGCACAGTATGGGAATTCAGGGCCAGTGGCGATGGGAACTACATTTACATGGATTAGCATTAAGGAAAACCAGTTTAAAAAAAAAAAAATACATATATATAAAATTGCTGTTGTCTCAAACCTCCAAAATGGTAACTTTACAGGAGAAAGAAAAAACCTACTTTTAATGTAAGTCAATGGAACCAGGCTATATATTCTATATTCTTTTAGTCCGTTCATCATGCAGTTTACACACAATGTGAAGGATAACGTTTTTTCTAATTATGTCAAAAACTGAAAAACGTCAAAAGTGTGTGTGTGTATATATATATACACACACACACACACACACACACACACACACACACACACACACACACACACACACACACACACACACACACACAATGGAACCAGACTCATTTTATATATATATATATATATATATATATATATATATATATATATATATATATATATATATAAATATAAATATATATATATATATATATATATGTATATATATATATAAAAATAAATAAATAAATATGAGTCTGGTTCCATTGAATTACTGTGTATGTATATGTGTTTATAAGTGTGTGTGTACGTTATATATGCACCTACATTTATATACAGTTCCTTAAAAGGACTCGAGCGTCATAAAGAGGCGTCCCATCTTCATGCTGGCAGGTGGTTATTTCTATGCAGGTGGCGTCTGCCTCTAATTATAACAAAGGTCATTGTTCTTACGTCTTCCATACAGTTCAAACACCCAGCACGCAAACACACACACACACTCAGCACACTGTGTTCTATCTTCTGAGGCTAGGGCACATCTGTTACCCACCTTGCCATGCAGCATGTGACTTTAAAAGGTTTATGTTCCGGTTCAAAATCAGGGCTGACTGAGCTGCAGCTTTGGTACCTTTAGTGTTTTACAGCCAGAAACAGGGACCGTTTTTTTTCCACCCATGGTCTTGGTCGTGTTTGTGTTCAGCTTGATCTCCCATGTATATGCATGAGTAAATGAGGCCCTAGATGCTTCTCTCAGCTCGTTTCCAGTCACAAAAAGCTTTATTAGCAGAACCATATTAAGTTGAACAGGTTTAGTCCTGCATCTCGTCGCTGTCGGAACAAAACCAACAGAAGTAACTTTACAGGAGAAGGAAAAACTCTTAACTTTCGATGCAAGTTAATGTAACACGATTTTATTTGAGGTCATGGATCATTTCTGCTGATTGTTTTGTCATGAAATTTAGACTCTGTGTAAACCGCAGCTGGCATTTTCAAATTATGTGACTATAAACATTCTTAAAGGTGCCACAGAGGGTAGAAGAACCACTTGTAGTTCCCTAGAGAACATTTCAGTGGCTGGCTCTCTAAAGAGATGGAAAAGGCAAAGGGACCTCTGTCTTTAAATTTTTAAACATTGTGTATTTTTGACAGTATATTAATCTTATATATTAACTACATGTCATGCTTTTAAAATATAAATTATTTGCCTATGTGCTACCTGTGACAGCTGATCACACTAATACAAAACTGATGTATGAAGATCCCTGTGCTGAACAGAGATAACCAACCTGACTTAAAGCTGCAGTATAACCTGTATAAAAATAACTTCTCGTCATGTTGGCTAAAGCTGTCACTCTGTCCTGACAGTAGTACATTAAACGGCTAATCTGTTTAATTATATATATCTATCAGGCTCCTCTGGCTCCAGCGAGTGCTCAAAATGCCTAATGCACCCGCATCAAAATGACCAATCAGAGCCAGGAGGCTCTGACTCGATCAGGCTCAGTATTTTCAGCAGACTTGCCGACCTGTGTGCGTTTTATGTAGCAGGTACACATTTTTACAACAGAGTTTGCTGGTACGATTTGGTATTCTATGCAAAATGCTGGTGATGCCTGTGAGCTTCATTTTGCACATGCAGTACTCAAATCTACCAACAGGATGGAAAAAAGCGAGTGCATATGCCGCAGAAATAACGTTACCTGGAAGATGAGGAGGACACTGACAGGGAGAGAGAGAGGGAGAGAGAGGGAGCAGCAGACCCAAAGTTGGCTGGGCTGCTTTAGTGAGTGGCTTCAGGAAATGCTGACGCATTAAGTGACCCTTATTAACCCCACAATGGCAAAATTTCACCTCCGCATTTAACTGTGCAGTGAAACGCCACATACACACTAGTGAATGCGCACACACACTAGGGGGCTGTGAGCACACTTGCCCAGAGCAGTGGCCAGTCCTATCCATGGCACCCGGGGAGCAGCTGGGGGTTAGGCGTCTTGCTCAAGGGCACTTCAGTCATGTCCAGTCGGCTCAGGGGATCAAACCGGCGGTTCCCTAACCTCCAGCCCTTGACTGCCCCAGACCAGATTCACAATCCAGAGTGGTGACCATTACACCATGGAACCATTATATGTAACTGTGTGGAGTTTAGTTTGTATTCTTAATGGTTTGTGCTCCGTACTGTTTACCTGGCCTCTTCAGTGGCTGTGGTTGCTATCCTGTGCGGGCTTTGGAGGCAGGGCTGGGATGAGGGAGGGGGCGGGACCAGGGCGTTGTACTCGTTTAATTTAAAAGTCCGCTCTCTTCTCCATCCTACCAACTGCTGCTTTAAACATACCAAAATCGAAAATTCAGAACAGCTGTATAAGCTTTACAGTTTAATCACTAAGGACTGATTTTGAAGCAGATGTTTTTGAGCTGTTTTTACCGGCTGGTTTTTAGGTTTTCAAACAGCATCAGTTCATAATGTTGGTAAAACGTATCTGTGTCTCTTGTTTACAGGTAGCGAAATCGTTAGTGGCGTTCACTGTGATTGGCTATTTCTCTGTAAATAAAGTATTAATGAGGCTGTTGGCTTTTCAGTTTGTAAAGATGTGTTTGGGTTTTAGAGAGTAACATACAGTCTTAGGATTGTTCTCCAAGGTCTCTTTAGTAAGGGCATTGTATAGAACAATTTCATGCTTAAAAAAAAAAAGGTAAAAAAGTCATTTAGCTCACATGCTGTCGCATCACTTCGCTTAGGACACGGTCATGTCCCCACTCGCTGCCATATCAAGTTTAGTAATTCAACAGAGTTCTTTGCATGGTGAAAAGGTTCTTCAGATTGATGGAGAATGCGTTGTATAGACTCTTAGAAGTGTTCTTAAACAAAACGGTGAACACTTAAAGAACGCTTTGCATGAATAAAGCGTTCTTTGCATCATGAAAGTGTTCTTCAAATTGATGGAAAAGGAAAATTAAAAAAAAGGGTTCTATATAGCAGCAAAAAGGGTTCTTCTATTGTTATGATGTCAAGCTTGTAACAATAGGAGAGCCCTTTTGAGTGCTATATAGAACCCTTTTCAAAAATATACAGTGCATTCTCCATCAATCTGAAGACCCATTTCATCATGCAAATGAACATTTAAGCATGAAATGTGCTATATAGAATTCAAAGTTGTAAACAGAACTGTTCCCTTTGCTGAAGAACCCTGGCAGAACCATCTTTTTTAAGAGTGCAGAAGTAATAAGTAGTGAGTAATCCCATTAGAAGTAATTTGTAATGAATTGCTTTTTTCAGTTTGTACCCCAACACTGATTTTAACTGTGAACTGTTAGTAGTAAAAATCTGTGCTATTACTGGAACTGTGTTATTATAGATGTGCCAGCTCTGTTTCCTTCCAAGCTCCAGCGTTCTTGCACGGTTGTATATCTCTCATGTTAATATCTTATTTCTCCACTTTCTCCAAATGGGGGAAAATAAGTCACGGAGCGGAGACTTCCTTTTGTTTGTTCATTTTTGCCGTTGCGTCGACTCCGTCTGGTGAAAGGAGCTTTGAGCTTTGTGCTGCGACTCCTGGAGTGTGTCAGCCTCCCTCTTTTGTTTATGAACGTTGAGAAGAGGGGGGGGAAAAAAGTCAAAGCAGACCAAAACGGCCTTATGAACAGGAGGAAGAATTTTTTTTTTTCTTCTTCTTCTTCTTTCTTGAAATGTTCCAGATCTGAATCCGAGGAGCTCTGGAGTATGGCATTGTTTGCAGAGTAACATGAGAAAGCTCTTCTGAAACGTCCTGGTTATCTTGACGACTGCTTAAGGTAGCACCTCTGAATAAGCGTCGTTGAGATGGAGCAGATGATGTGGCCGTTGAAGGAGTTTATCCTGCAGCTTCATCCTTTTTTGCCTTTTGGACAACTTAATCTCTCTCTGTAAATGTCCTCATCAGTTAGATGAATGCACCTACTTTCTTCCGTGCCCTCGTCATCCTTACAAATTTAGATGTAGGGGTCCTGGGCTCGGACTCTCTCAGGCTGACACATTAAAGGAAAAAGCTGATGTAATAGTCTAGGGCTCTCGGAGTCGAATACCTTTGAGGAGAAAGGTTCTCTAAGTCCAAACATTTTAAATATTATCTGGCCTTAAGGAGTGTTCTTGGAGCTGGCTTGATGTTATGGAAAATTAATTATTTTTCAGTTAATTTTTAATAATACTCATTTTAATTCTAGATACAGAGAGATTCACTCGAAAGAGGCCCCGAATATTCTGTA